TTCTAAAGAATAAGACTAAAATACCTTTAATGAAGATTTCTCCTTCTTTTTCTCTACATCTATTTTTTATTTTTTCAATCGTGACCATTAGATGAAGGTTTAAAACGAATGGCTGAGATTGAACGAATTTTAAATACATGCTTTTACAGATTTTTGAGTTCGTGTATGGTTCTTGTGTATCAGACTTGTGTTCGTCCACGAACAGTTATCCACAAAATCGTCTTTATACTCCATAGTGTTGTCGTTGATGAGACCTATAGATTTAAGATCCAGTTTGAAGATATTTTTTTCCAAGAGATGTGTATGTAGTGGATAAGGTTTTGTGGACAAGCTTGTATGGTCATATTGAAATTCAAATCTCTTCCAAGAGATAAATAGTTCATGATTAGGGAATGTAATGGTGATCATAATTACTTATTTGAATATCATTGAACAAAATTGGATTTTGATACGAAAGTACATGATAAATGGATGTCTAATAGCATGAAGATGGTGGAGTTTGAAACGTAATGGAATCATTTGTCATCCACACAGAGTTATCCACATTACTTTGTCCATGCGTACGTATCTGTGACCACTGATCACATAGGTTACAAGTCCCTCCGCATTAGCCATAGCAACAATTTCCTCCGCATCTCTCTGTTTCGAATAGAATGCGGCATCAGCTACAGCTCTCATCGCCTTCACTTACTTATGTATCTCGTAAAGAACAGCTTGTGCTTGTTGTAAAACTCCCAATTTGGTTCTTGCTTATAATATAACACACAAAAACTGGCATGATCCAAAAGAAAGAGAATCCATTCAAAAGTCTAAAGATTTAAGTGATGTATTACCTTGGTTTTAGCTTCAGCAACAAGAGCATCCTTTTGATTCTTAAAGACTTGAATAGTCTTGACCTCGATCTCTTCTTTGGTTCCTTCTACTAGTCTCTTAGTAGATATGATCTTAGACTCGGCATCAATCTCTGCTACCTTGGCTTTGTTTGCTGCTTCCATTGTGTTTTTTGACCCAAGTAAGAGAAGTACTCATGTCCAGGCACATCAACGAGCTGCTTAACATTAGAATTGTAAATCACAATACCAAACTGACTTACCTCTAGCTAGCTGGACTTTGTCAAACACCTCGTTGAAGTAAAAATAACGACATGGTATCCACTAAAAACTGTCCACAAAATGTAGTCCACAAAATTAAAGAATCACGAGCTATACCCAAACCTAATCTCGTTGCAGCAAGTCACAGAAACCAAACACATAAACAACAAAACCAATTGGGAAACCATACACTCGCATTCAGAGAGCAATCAAACACAAAAACCCAAAATCTCAAAACTTAGAATCCGATTAATC